TACAGGGTTTCCAAGGCTGTAAATCTTTACGGGAGCAGAAAACCTCATCTTTCTCCTGCCGAACAGCTGGTAGTTTCAAACTGCTGACCATGAGATTAACAGCGCAATTAGTAACCACTGTGCTACCAGAGCTCCTTTATTGTAGCTAAACCCTTTTGTTGTTCTTTTGTTAAAACTTGAAATGTCACACATGTCCATAAACAGCTACTTAGAATATTTACAGTTCATAAATATAATGCAAAAACTCTGTGAGCCTTTTATTTCCCTTTCATTCTGGCATTAGTGTTTGCTTCTAATTTATCACTGAGTTAAAATACATTTATAATCCTTGTGTGGTGCTGTAGGATAAGTGCTGGACAAGGTCTGCAGCTGGACAAACCCACCAGCCACTCCTTGGAAACCCTATACAGGGCCACTATGAGTTAGGAAAGGAGCTCTGGTAGCGTAGTGGTTACGAATTGGGCTGCGAACCTCAAGGGCAGCAGTTCAAAACTACCAGCTGTTCTGCGGTAGAAAGATGAGGCTTTCTGCTTCTGTACAGATTTACAGCCTCAGAAACCCTGTGCAGGGTCACTATGAGTCAGAGCTGACTCGACGGCACATAACAACAACAACGTGAGTTAGAAATCAGCTAGATGGCACTTAACAATAGCAACATAGTCCTTGAGTACCTCATGGCAAGGACATAATCAAAAGGGATATTAGTCCTGGCATCACACTGTGGGCTAATGTGCTGGACTGCAAAGTCATTTGAACCACAAGGTCGGTGGTTCAAGCTCACCAACTGCTCTCTGAAAACCTTATTCAGGGACACTATGGGTTGGGACCGGCTCGACAGCCCTTAACAACAACAACTCTTTTATTTGGGGACTGTAGTGGCTCTGTAAGATAAGCACTGGACTGCAAACCACAAGGTCAATAGTTTGAGCTCACCGGCTGCGTCAGGGGAGAAAGATGAAATTGTCTGCTTCTGCAAAGATAATACCATCTCAGAAACCCTATAGAGGGTCACCGGTCACTGTGAGTTGGAACCCACTAAAAGACAGTAACAACAACAATGTCCTTTTATTTTTCATATCTAAACAACATCAGAAAAAGTATTGGAGGAATCATCTCTGGGTTCTTAAGATCTGAATTCTAATCACAATACTGGCATTCTCTTGCTAAATAGTTTTAATCAAGTTACTTGACATTCTAAGCCTGGTTTTCTTCCTCTTTAAAATGAAAATGTTAATTATTTAAGTCATTTTGGTTGGTGTGGAAATTAAATTAGATAGTTATTTTTTTGGATATTTTGAAATTCTAACATACTTTATGTAATTTGTACCATTTTACATTGTATTTGTTTTGTGTTAACTTCCCCACAGGAATACCAGCTCATGATAGGACTCAGTAATTGGATGCTGTGGGCTGCCTATTTCATCACATTCATCATTTTGTATTTAATTACCATCTTGTTCCTGTGCTTAATATTCTTCATCAAGGCAAGTGTCTGTTTCACTGCAGCAGGTTGAAGCTACATTTTGAGAAGAAAACAAACAAGCTATGGGCTGGATGGGGCTCAGGTTGCTAGGTGAATGAAAATGAGGAAATTTGGAAGTTGCTTATGCTTAGCAAACAAAACTTTAAATTCAAATGGGTGAAGTTCTATAAGAATTGAATTTTTTATATAACTCTCCAGGGCCGCGTCCTCACAGTGATACTGATGACACTTGCCATCACGTTTAGATCTCAAAAGTGCCACCAGTCTTGCTGGCTGGTTGTGTACCACTGACTGAGTCGGTTCTGACTCACGGCGACTCTGTATAGGGTTTCTGAGGCTGAAAATCTTAATGGGAGCAAAAAGCCTCATCTTTCTCCCGCAGAATGCCTGGTAGACTTGAACTGCTGACCTTGCGGTTGGCAGTTTAACGTGTAACTCGCTATGCTGCTTGGACTCCTTTCAGTATATTTAAGGGTGTCTCACTGTCTCTCTGTTTTGGTGTCATGGCTTAGAGTAGGATTAAACTGGCTTCTTGGTTATTTTGCTAGATTCATCCTGCTCCAGTTCTCCAAAAAAGTGACCCATCTCTCATCTTTGTCTTTTTGCTGTGTTTTGCCATTGCATCAATATTCTTCAGCTTTATGGTTAGCACATTCTTCAATAAAGGTGAGTCTAAGACTTCTGCTGTGAAACATTCTCAGTAACTGAGAAAATATTAACTAAAAGACGATTATATTTGAGAGCTCCTTCTAAACTTTATTTACCACCTCATAGATAGCTCTGTTTACATTCTAACTAAAAATGCTTGTGAAATGATTTTGTTGTTGTTAAAGTGCCATCGAGTCGGTACCAACTCATAGCAACCCTATGCACAACAGA